CCACACGAGCCAGCGACTCATCCGATTGAGAACGCCACATATTGCCCGACTGAGCTGCAGGTGCAGTGCATGGTTCGAGTACTGAACAGCGTTTCCACCCGCGGCGATCCGGAGTTGTGTCCGGATCTAAACGATTCGTCAGAGGCATACCTGATTGGCACTTTCGATTTGTGGTATCCTCTTGTTCCGACAACATGTGCCGACGACTGGACATGGAACGCACGGAGGCATGGTGAGTCCGAAGTTCAGTTCGATTAACTGTCTTTGGTTCGGTGTTGCGTTTATCACTCAACTTGGGGAATGTGGTCTGTCAAGAAAAAGTGATCCAAAGAGGTCGAATGTATGCTCGTAAATCGGTAAACAGGGCANTTCCATGGGATAGTACAAGATGTAACTGATATTATTCGAAAGCTGGAAAAACGGTGATGTACAGTTTTCCATTTCGCCTGTTCGCTGAGCTTGGGAATTTGTTTGCAAAAGTTTCACCACCAACCGAGATGACTGTTGTGGTCTACAACTGACCGATTTGTGTTCATACATGCCTGTTGTCAAATTGCTTGATCGATCGATTGACTGACTGTTTAAATGCTGGCTTGACGGCATTCGCATGTAATGCAACGTGTGAGCCGGTGTCGGACTGCCTGCTCGCCTTCCTACATTCTGATCGTTCTTATCTGTTTCCCGGTTTATGAACCAGCTACATATTTGTCGTTTATAATAAACTTACTGCTTAATACGTTGTGTGCCCATTTACCTAGTAAATTTGGGACACAAAAGTGACATAATCAGCGCTTGTGAAGTGGCGGTGTTTTGCTTGTATCCGTTCGTTTATATGTGTTCTTCTCCACCGACTATTTGACAAAACCAACGGAGAAAACAATGGAGAAGGACAAGAGCAGTGTTATTTACAAAATAGACTGCAAGAACTGCCCGAAACATAAAATCGGAGAAACTGGAAGAAAACTGTCCACAAAGATCCGTGAAAATCAATCGGCAGTCAGGAGACACGGCCCACTATCATTGATTTCCATTCACGAAGATCAAGAAAGACATCAAGTTTACTTCTAAGCAGTGAAAATTATCGACCAAGCCCGGTCAAAACACGCCAAAGAATTTCTCGAGGCTTGGCACTCTTTAATCAACTCAATAAAAAGGCACATCGAAATGGATCACGTGCACACGCCAATGCAACTCAAAGATCAAATGACGCAACAAGAAAAGGTCACACCGTAACCTGATAACGGAACGAAACGGCAATCAGGACGAAAGGACAAACCTCTCCCACCCTCACCCCTGCGCACCAGTTTAACGGCGAAACGAATCGAACTGAGTCAGAACAAAGAACAAAAATAGTCATTGGAGAAGAACACAAACGAACGGATACAAGCAGAACACTGTCACTTCACAAGCTCTAATGACGTCACCTCGGCTAGTGATGAAACGTTTGCAAACAAGTTGCTAAGTTCGGCGAACAGGTAGAGTTCGGTTCATTCGAGCTACGAGGACCGATTTTCAATAATCTTTCAACATGTATAGCCTGTTGCTGGAGGTGATTTTCCACCAAAGCGAGAGGACAAAGAGCCGATATCCGGGTTGGTGGACCACTGGTAGTTCACCTAGGGGAGTTGGTCAAAAACCCTGATTCCAAACCAAACAAGAAGAGGCGTACCAACCAAACACACCTTCCAGATTATGGCAGTGGTCATCGGCTCGATGGAGCATCAAGGTGCATTGGGCATCGTGGACGTTTGACCCCGTCCAAAGGGCGTATGATCCAATGAACTAGAAAACAACACCTAATCAATTGCGGTTTTTACACACCGCCCGCTACCTTGCGGGTCAGGCTTTGGCTAGTCGAAGGCTCTGGTTGTCGATTCCACAATGAAATGTACCTGCCTTGGCCTGGGTAACCTGACAGTATTCAGCTCACATGTAAATCATGGAACATTTTTCTTTTTTCATAGTTGGTTTGGCACACAGTCTGGCGTTAGACGTATGTCAAATATATATACCTATTAAGATAATTATGCTGTTGTGGATTAAATATGTCCACATACCATGAGTCAGAAGAGGGTTATTCCTTCACGGCCAAAAGAGGCCAATTCAAATCCCATTTTGCCGTTCATTGATTAAAAAACAAAACGGTGACAGTTCGGTCACTGGCATCATAAATGGCGAACAAGAACAGTGACCGTAGGAATACGATGTATCAGCGAGGACCACTGATGTATCTCTTATATGCAGTACCCAGTGAATTAGGCAATTTGTCTACGTTCGGTGTGAGCATGTGTACCTCTTTTTACAGCACCGGTTGTGAAGACCTCCACAATTGGAAATTATTTTGGTCAAGGAGGGACCCATCGGACAATCGAATACGCAGTGTTGGAAGCACAGAACATTTGCCCACAACACAACAAACTGGAGGCGCGATTGGTAAGAGCCACATTTCGCCCTAAAAAAACTGAACCGAACTGATCGTCGCAGGTCTGCAAGTTAGTAAGCAAGCAGGGCATCAATACGCAGACGGTTCACGAAAGCAACCGTATAAGCAAGCGCAGGCGTCGCATGAAATCAGATCGCGTATAAGCAGGGTAGGTGAGCTGCCAAAGAATCAATGAGTGCGGACAGTTTTCAATACTAACATTTGATTCGCTCAAGCGAATTGACCTTTTCATAAAGTAAGCTTGCATGAGGTGCATGCATGCATGCTGGCGCGTGTGGTAGCAGGAAACATTAACCAGTCAATCAATCAATCCGGTCACAGGCATGTACGACAAACGTCCCGGTTAGCCGTCAGGTCACAAAAACTGCAAAGGTTAGAGCAGCAATATTCGACTGATTGTATTAATGGAATATGGATGAACCAGCTGAGGACGGTATTAATCGCTTTTCCAATCTGTAAACAACAACCGTCTCGCAATCGAACATCACCCATGTCTGAGATCCTTAAGAAAAACGTAAACAAGGGTCATAAAATTCAACCAAGAATGTCTGGTGTTGAACACTGATAGCAGTCTGAATGGAGTGCCGTCAAAGTCATATACCTTTCTCCACTGCAAAAATTTCGCTAAAAACGATTGTTTGACTGGTTGGTTTGCTCTCCGTTCTGTTTCCGTCACACCCCGGAATTCACCATGATCGATCGGGTCCAGCGAGGAGACGAACGGGTCGCCAAGTCCCAGTGAACTAGGCAAGGAATCGGTATCCCCAGGGATCGCCGAGGTCAAACGACGATAGGGCAAGGCCGGCTGTAATTGAAGATCATCAGGAGTTTCACGAATGACAGACAAGCGTAGTGATCTGTCAGGCTGAAGTGAAGTAACAGATAGAGTTAAGATCTCCAATCCGACGACGACATATAAGAGATATTCTATCATGATACATCCAATCAATTTGAAATTCATTTCATTAACTACCATCGTGTTGAATCAAATAGAAAAGTTAAAGGAAATGGTTGTCTCGTTTGAGCATCCTACTTCAATGTAATGGGGAAAGATTTTTTGAGGACGGACAGTGTAATTCCACATAGTGAATACACTCTACTTAACATACAGAATCTCTCTAACCGTTTCACATGAAGAAAATTCCTGGTTAACCACAGTATAAAACTGTTGAGAAGTCGTGTATCGGGTCGTCGATTACTTCTAGACGGTCGCCTGACCGACCCTGGGAATGTGCCAAAACATATCCGGAAACAACGCACGAACCGCGAAATTATCACGTGGCAGTCTTGGCCGTAGTTTCCTTATGAGATACTTGTCGGAAATTTAATGAAAAACGCTCAAGTTTCATGTATACTCCAATAGAGTAGGCCCTTAAACTTAACCCCACCCTTCACAAAAAAGAACATTGTAAATTTTGTGCTATCAAAGTAGACGAAAAATATTGATTACCCGTATAATTTTCAAGGTTTATGCGATTCGTTGAGAATGATTTCGTTTGAAGGGTCTTTTCTCCCCGTAGTCTATTAACACATACTATAATGATGAAAATCCCGCTGACTCTTATGGTTTCTGAAAGAGAAAAAGGAGGCTGTGAGCTCACTTGAGTAAACCGCTCCGTCAAACGTGCTGGCATCAATCGGCCGCTGACCGGTTCAGGATAAGTACCGAGCCGAGAACTTTCGCCTGGATCAGTCATTTTTTCCCGTGGAAGTGATGTTGATGTTGGTATTGATGATTGCATTTGCAATTGTCGCTGTCGTCGTCGACCATGAGACCGCGGTTCCAGTGAGGATGGTGATAGAACTTCACGATTAGGGGACTGGATGCGTGATAAAGTAAATTGAGTTGGTTTCACTGCCTGTTCATCCCGGTCGGTCAGAGGAATCTCACTTCGAGGAGTCTAATTATATAGTGAAAAGTGGTAACAAATGTGTAGCTACATGATCCATCTGGAATTAACATAAAAACGAGGACCGTATGGTGAAACAAATCAAGTTTTGTTGGGAACAATCGATCTTAAAAATAGTAGATTAAAAATATTTTTATTTCACTCTGTTTCACATAAAACGTATGTACAATCAACAACCTGGCTTTGGTCCAGAGGAGGGGGAAAGCAACAAACGAAAGATTGGGAAGTACGATGTTGTCGTACGTCAAGACGGGTTCGAAAAACAGCTAAATGGCTGAGACGATCCGGAATTCGAGTCACCCACAAACCGATAGTCTGTCAGCGAGAAACTACTTCCAAACCAAAGGAGAAAGACAAGAGTAGCGTTATGCACAGAAGAGACTGCAACGGAGAGAGCAGAGCTGTGTGCTACCGAGCGCGTCCCCAGGTCGCGGATAGGGGAACGGCCGTCATCTCACGGCTAACCGTGAATAAGGTGGGCCTCGGCCCTCCAAATAGGCGGTTGAGGACGATCAGCAGCAGCGCTCGAGGATGTGGTGGGTTTACCCCTGACAAGGGTTCTCCGTACAAAACGCCACATATATCTGCGGACAGCGCTGTAAAGTGGCGAGTGTGGCCCGCCACTAAATAGGGTCATTGCTTCTTGTCAAGATCCATTGCTCGACAAGGCTTTCCAGAAGAGGCGAATGAACCAACTACTGGCCACCGGCTCATCTGGAACATTAGTGCTGCCTTGTAGTCCGACCGAGTAGTACAACAGCCCACAACGCCAACAATGATGAACTCTTCGAATTCTTCGCGCATCCAGTTTACTGTTTCTTCAACTAAAGCCAAATACTCTACACTGTACACACACTCGCGTCCTCCCAGCCCTCTCCCATCCCACATCCGCCCCTGTCACCCACCCCTTTTCTCGGGATCCTCAGACGATCGTGCAACCACTAGCGCCTCAGACGGAAACTCTGCTGCTGTTCCCTCATGTCCTACCTCGACCACTGTCCAAGTATCACCGATTCCTCCACCAGCTGAAGCCCTTGTTCGCCCTCGATGTCCTTTCAAACTAGCCACATTTATTATGCGCACTCTCATGCGTATAGGACAACAGGCCGGTTTAGCTCGCACGCTCGAGACCCTAGCCATCGATGTGTGTTGTATCCAAGAGACTCGCATTCAAGACTCCAGCTCTATTATCCGAGTGAAGTCCCCATCAAACCCATCCGGGAAGTTTTACTTACGCCTCTCTGGGGACCCTGAGGCTGCGGCTTCCGGTCTTTCTGATA